TCATGCATCCATCATCCATCCATCGCACCATCATCATTCCATATCCGATCACTGATGCATCCACATCATCCATCTCCATCCATGATGCCATCCATTACATCATCCATCATCCATGCCATCATCCATCCATCATCTCCATCCATATCCACCATCATCCATCCATAATCACCATAACAATTCCATCATCACCATGCCATCCATCCATATCCATGCACCATCCATATCCATCGACATATCCATCAGGCATCCATCCATCATCATCATCATCCATAATCATCCATCATCCATCCTCCAATCATCATCATCCATCTCTCAATCACCAATCCATCACATCATCCATCTACTCCATTACACCATCGAATGCATCCATCCATTCATCCATCCAATCATCCCACCATCCATCATATCCATCCCAGCATCATCTCCTATCCATCCATGCCATAATCCATCATCCATGGAATACCATCCATGCCATCATCCTCATCCATCCATCATCCATCATCCAATCTCCATCCATCCATCCATCACTCCACAATCCATCTCTCCATCCATCACATCATCATGCAATCGCACATATCCATCATCCAGATCTCACATCCAATCATCCATAATCTCTCACATGCATCCATCATCCATGCCATCCATCATCCATCCATCCATCCATCCATCCATCATCCATCATCTCACATCCATCCATCATCCATCCATTCATGCCATCATCCATCCATCCACATCCATCCATCTGATCCATCCATCCATACTACCATCATCACATCATGACTATATCCAATCCATGCCATGATCATCCGATCATCACTCATCCTATCCATCACCATCATCCATCCATCAATCATCCATCCACATCATATCATCATCATCATCATCGATCGATCAATCCATCTCACCAACATCCATGAATCCATCCATCATCTCCATCCATCCATACATACCATCCATCCATCAATCCATCCATCATCCACCTCCATCCATCATATCGATGAATCATCCATGCCACATCAGATCTGAATGCCATACATCTAATGCAACCATCATCCACTGATACTGCATCACAGCCATCCATCCTGATCATCCATCATCCATACGATCCCATCATCCATCCATCTATGCCATCCATCCATCCATCCATCATCCATCCTGATGATCACATCCATCATGCCATTCTATCCATCCATACATCCATCCATCTCTCATGCCATCCATCACCATACCATACAGGCACTCTCCATCATGCATCCATCACTCATGCATCTCCAATCCGCCATATCCAATCATGTATCCATAACTCATCGATCATCCATCCAATCTCCACATCAATAATGCTCATCCATCATCGCACTCATCCATCATGATGCATCCATCCATCCATCTCTCCATCCATCCATCCATCCATCCATCATCCATCTCTCCATCCATCCATCCATCATCCATCCATCATCCATCTCTCCATTCATCATCCATCTCTCCATCCATCCATCCATCATCCATCCATCCATCTCTCCATCCATCCATCCATCCATCCATCCATCCATCATCCATCCATCCATCATCCATCCATCTCTCCATCCATCCATCCATCTCTCCATCCATCCATCCATCATCCATCCATCCATCCATCTCTCCATCCATCCATCCATCCATCTCTCCATTCATCCATCCATCATCCATCTCCATCCATCCATCATCCATCCATCCATCTCTCCATCCATCCATCCATCCATCATCCATCTCTCCATCCACCCATCATCCATCCATCCATCATCCATCCATCCATCCATCCATCATCCATCCATCATCCATCCATCCATCCATCCATGCATCCATCCATCATCCATGCATCCATCTCTCCATCCATCCATCATCCATCCATCCATCCATCTCTCCATCCATCCATCCATCTCTCCATCCATCCATCCATCCATCCATCATCCATCCATCTCTCCATCCATCCATCCATCCATCCATCATCCATCCATCCATCCATCCATCATCCATCCATCCATCCATCCATCCATTATCCATCCATCCATCCATCCATCATCCATCTCTCCATCCATCCATCCATCCATCCATCCATCATCCATCTCTCCATCCATTCGTCTATCATCCATCCATCCATCCATCCATCATCCATCTCTCCTTCCATTCGTCTATCATCCATCCATCCATCATCCATCTCTCCATCCATCCATCCATCCATCCATCATCCATCCATCTCTCCATTCATCCATCCATCCATCCATCATCCATCTCTCCATCCGTCCATCATCCATCCATCTCTCCATCCATCCATCCATCCATCATCCATCCATCCATCCATCATCCATCTCTCCATCCATCCATCATCCATCCATCTCTCCATCCATCCATCCATCTCTCCATCCATCCATCCATCCATCCATCATCCATCTCTCCATCCATCCATCCATCATCCATCCATCATCCATCTCTCCATTCATCATCCATCTCTCCATCCATCCATCCATCATCCATCCATCCATCTCTCCATCCATCCATCCATCCATCCATCCATCATCCATCCATCCATCATCCATCCATCTCTCCATCCATCCATCCATCTCTCCATCCATCCATCCATCATCCATCCATCCATCCATCTCTCCATCCATCCATCCATCCATCTCTCCATTCATCCATCCATCATCCATCTCCATCCATCCATCATCCATCCATCCATCTCTCCATCCATCCATCCATCCATCCATCATCCATCTCTCCATCCATCCATCATCCATCCATCCATCATCCATCCATCCATCCATCATCCATCCATCATCCATCCATCCATCCATCCATGCATCCATCCATCATCCATGCATCCATCTCTCCATCCATCCATCATCCATCCATCCATCCATCTCTCCATCCATCCATCCATCTCTCCATCCATCCATCCATCCATCCATCATCCATCCATCTCTCCATCCATCCATCCATCCATCCATCATCCATCCATCCATCCATCCATCATCCATCCATCCATCCATCCATCCATTATCCATCCATCCATCCATCCATCATCCATCTCTCCATCCATCCATCCATCCATCATCCATCTCTCCATCCATTCGTCTATCATCCATCCATCCATCCATCCATCATCCATCTCTCCTTCCATTCGTCTATCATCCATCCATCCATCATCCATCCATCATCCATCTATCATCCATCCATCCATCCATCATCCATCTCTCCTTCCATCCATCTATCATCCATCCATCCATCATCCATCCGTCTATCATCCATCCATCCATCCATCATCCATCCATCCATCATCCATCCATCCATCCATCCATCCATCCATCATCCATCCATCCATCATCCATCTCTCCTTCCATCCGTCTATCATCCATCCATTCATCCATCCATCATTCATCCATCCATCATCCATCCATCATCCATCCATCATCCATCCATCATCCATCCATCCATCATCCATCCATCCATCATCCATCCATCCATCATCCATCCATCTATCATCCATCCATCCATCATCCATCATTCATCCATCCATCATCCATCCATCTATCATCCATCCATCCATCATCCATCCATCCATCATCCATCCATCATCCATCCATCCATCATCCATCCATCCATCATCCATCCATCCATCCATCATCCATCCATTATCCATCCATCCATCATCCATCCATCCATCATCCATCCATCCATCATCCATCCATCATCCATCCATCCATCATCCATCCATCCATCCATCGTGATAAGGTCTGTATCGCTATTTATCTACTTTTCTAGTCTGGTTGGATTTTTTATTATAATTCCAGTTTCTCTCCAATTAGTCACTCTTCGAATTTTCTGTGTTTCGCAACCAAAGGAAATCAAGCAAATGCTCATGAATATCTGAATAACAACTTTAAAGTTTAATCAAGCTCAGTAGGTCTAAAAGCTTCAGTATTTTGTATTAACTTTTCTTTCATAATTTCCCAAACATGATCTCAGATCTTTTTTTCTTATTATAAATGAAAATCCAGTCTAAGTGCTTTTATTTTCTGTTTAGACAGTTTGCTATTTTATCTGAATCCACAAATGTTAAACCACTGGCTCCACCTAGAGGTGGCGGGGGTGGGATTTTAACAATAAGTTAAACCTCAGCATTTTAAAACTGATGCTTCAAAGTACAGTCAGTTATTTCTCCTCTACAGATGTTAAAGGTTTAGCCTGATTCAATGTCTGTGTGTCAAAACTTTGTGTCTTTTATGAAATAGATGTAAATATTATCAGTTGTATGTTTTAGTGCCGGCGACCCAGAATCCCTGGAAGGAGCTAAAAATTAGGGTTATGGAGAGGAGCTCATTACCAAGGATAATTCCTCACTATATGTCAAAAGGATTTGTTTGCTGTGATTCCAAAGTTTTTGGGTCGAAATCTGCATATTTAATCCCAGAAATATGGCCTCTGAAATCTGATGTTAAAATCCCCTCAGAATGTTTTAGTTCAACCACATAAAGACTGTTTTATTCAGCAGGGAAGTTAGATTAATAATAATAATAATGTTTTCAAAGAGCTTCGAAAAGTTTTTCAAAGTTAAGTCGAAGCACCAAGTGTCCCTCTTCCTCCCCCCTCGCGCGGGCGCGCAGCGACCATGTGACGCGGATGCCCCCTGTTCGGGTTACAGAGAGAGGGAGGCATCAGATGGAGGCAAACCTTCAGCGGCCAACAGTCCGTCAGTCACTCCGGCGGCGCTCAATCTTTTCCAGCGCGGATTGTCGGATCCACCGGGAGGAGAGGAAGGCCTCAGCAGCTGCAGCAGCTCCTGCGGATCTACATGACTTTTTCTGTCCTCTGCGCTTTACCGACTGGCGCGCAAAGTCTGGGTTCATCCATAGAGAAGCTGCGAGCAAGTTCATAGGCGCAGAAGAGGGGGGGCCGGGGGGTGGGGGGGTATCACATGACCTCAAAGCTGACAGATACTTTTTTCTTATTAGGATGTAAAAGAGAACATGGTAAGACAAAAAAACACCTTAAAAATGAAACGCCTGTTTCCATGGCGTTCATTCTGTTTGACAGATTAAACCACCCGATCAGTTTCTGATCAAAAACAGGATTAATCAGGATCTGCTGCTGCATGGCTGCTGCAGCGGTGGGTGGCCTGGACCATGCGGATGTTTGCAGCCTGTGGTTTCAGATACCAAACAAAAGTAACTTCCAAACGGACAGTTGACGTGTCACAAACAGTGCTTCATCAAATTACTCTGCCCTGAGTCACGTCAGAGTCAAGGGCTGCTTGGCACGGCATGGGAAACTCTTCCAGGAAGGGTGAGGAGGAAGAGGAAGACGAGGGGGGGGAGGACGGAGAGGAGGAAAAGGCAACGAAAAGGGAGAAGGAAGTTGTGGAGGAGGTAGAGCTTCCGCTTGGGGTGGAGGAGCTGCTGGAGAGTGGTGATCCAGTGCTGGACCTCAGTTACCATAAATTCAAGCGTCTTCCTCTGCGTGTTTGCGAGCTGATGCACCTGGAGAAGCTTTATGTTTGCGGGAACAGACTGCACACCGTGCCTGACAGCCTCTCCCAGCTGCAGAGGCTGCGGACGCTGGCCCTGGACTTCAACAAGCTGGATGACATTCCCCTGGCTGTGTGTGAGCTCACCAACCTCACCCATCTCTATGTGGGAAGCAACCGGCTGATGACCCTGCCGCCTGAGTTTACAAACCTGAAGAACCTGAGATGCTTCTGGATGGAGAGTAACTACTTCCAGAGATTTCCACGGGAGCTTTATGACCTACCAAACCTCAAGTCCCTACAGATGGGGGACAACAGGCTGAAAGCGCTGCCTCCGGACTTCTGTCGCATGGCATCTCTAAAGGGACTGTGGCTGTATGGGAACCGCTTCGAAACCTTCCCCAAAGTCCTGCTGCACATGGAGTCCTTGGAGATCCTGGACTTTGACCGTAACAAAATAACAGAGCTTCCCAGCCTGAAGCGTCTGCGGCCACTCCACCTATTTTCCTACGACCATAATCCGGTGATGGAACCTCCTAAAGTGGGCGAGGAGGTGATTCTGGTCGGGGAAGGGGCGGCCGAGTTCATGGAGGTGCGTGAGGCCAGGAAGGAGAGGCGACGCAAGCCCGCAGAGCAAGAGGCCGAGGAGTTGGCTCAGGCTGAAGAAGAGCGAGTGATCCATGGAATCCTAAAGAACTCCAACTCCAAACTCCTTGGAGATGAAGCTGCAGTGAACATGGAGGACTCCGACGTTAAAGAAGAGGAAACATCGATTAAGGAGGAGGTGCAGGAGGAATGCGTAGAGTTGCCAGTGACAGAGTGTGACGGAGCCGATCTTGAATACGATGAAGCAATTATTGAGTACGAGACTGAAGAGATCCTGTATGAAGGTGAGGGGTTTGAGTACGAGGGAGAGCGGCTGGAGTATGAAAACATTCCAATGGACTACGAATACGAAGACGGGGAGGAGCTGGAAGATACAGGCGGACAAGACCAGGGGGCATGAAAACCTGCCCGAACTTTCAGGTGGAAACACATGATGGAAAATACAGAAGATATGTGAAAAGAAGACACTCTCAGATGTGCTGCTAATTAAAAGTCTATGTTCAACTGTGAAAATGATTTATTTAGATTTCGTATTTCTGTAAAGCAACAACACCTGTGGCATCTCTCCCAACTGCACATTATCAGGTTTACTGTAACTTCTTGTTGGTTCTTATTAAATATTCAGCTGAATGAAGCCGCTTCTTTGTCACTGAAGATAAATAGTGTTTTTATTTAAAGGTTGATTCTGCTCACCAAAGTCAGTACCTGGGAATGTGTTTTAGTGCTATTTCGTAAAGCAAGGCTGTCTGCAGGTGAAAGAGATTCAAAAGAAAACAAATATTTGTGAGGAGGGTGTCGGTGCTGAGAAGCAGCATCAGAGGGATGAATGGCTGGGGTGCCAGGCCATAAAAGGTAAGTCCTTAAGGAGGCCTATAAACATGCAGTGGAAAGGAAAATGATGATGCAGAATATTTCTAACGTGCAGGAGCCTGCTGGGCAGATATTCAGCTGTGTCATGAGTGCAGTGCATTCCTTCCTGTCACAGGCGGTGACTTTACTCTTCGTCTCTTCTAACGCTAAGCAGGCCAGGCTCTTGTTCTCTTCTCATTTCTGAACACATTATTCATGTGGGGCTACGGCCTGATCCAGTCCTTTACGTCTGCACAGATCTTTTTCCTTGTATCTCATTAAAAGAGTGAAATATTGATCTCAGTGTTAGAATATTAATGGCCGTACTCATGTGGCAGTATCTTCTTACATTTGCAATGAGGACACAGAGGTTTTACATCTTACATCTCTAAGTCTAATAATAATGGTATTATTAATAGAACAGACACAAGAATGTGAGAAATGAACTCTAAAAAAAGCCATTGGTCTCCAGAATTCCCCTCATAGCAATCTGATGGCATCTGTGGGAAGTAAATAAACTTCACAACCCACAGGACCCAAAGGATCCAGTGCTAGCATCCTGCTACGGTTTACTGGATTATTGCCTCTTTCTGACTGGCTGAAGCTTTTTCAGTGCATAACAGTGAAGTGAATAGAAGAAAGTAAATGTTTTAAGTTTACAACAAAACCTCTGAATAATGTGGTGGGTGACTTTTTGTATTGGTAACTAATTTGACCCAAAAGAACCATCCAAGCATCGCCTATAACCCCTCATCCCTGCATGGTTGCAGCAGGTCCAGGTTTTATCTTCAGCAGCCAGAGGGATCAAACTGGTTCTCCAACATCACAAAAGCACAACTGAAAGTAACACATTAACCTTGCAGCCTTATATTTTAAACTGTGGGAGGAGAAAAGCAAAGCACCATACAGAAAGAGGGGGATTTGAACCCACAACCTTCTTGCTGTTTGGAGCACTGGTCCCAGCTATATGTAGAACAATGCTCTGCCAATTATAAGACTGCATGCAGAGCAACTATGAACATAAATGTTCAGTTTTTCCAATGATAATAAAGTCTAGGCGGTGAGAGGAAAGAAAACTAATGAGTCTTAATGATTTCTTCTAACTTTCCTCTCAGAAAGATCACTGTCGTGTTCATTTAATCATTTTTTGTGTCAATAAATTCTCCCATCTGAGCTATTAATCCCTGCAGCTCCTAAAACATTTTTGAATTTCTGATCTTTCTGGTGTTTTAGTTGCTCTTCATGATGATGTTTCTGTCATGACTCAGAACAGAGGACGCAGTATTCCAGGCAAGACAGACAGTGGCATTATTCAAAAACATTTCAATAAAACACAGTAGCAGCGGCTAGGGCGTCCATCACAAGAAACTCTGTAAAAGGAAACACAGGCTAGTGACCATAACAGATGTTGATTGCGTGAATGTCTGAGTCACTAACCTGGTTCAACAGTTCACCCCGTGTCCTGAGAACCAGGAAGGATCCAGCCATTGGACTGCCAAGAAGATGCGGTTGACGCCACCCAGACTGTCCCAAACGCTGCAGCCCTAGAGAACGGAGAACAAGCAGGAGTCCAAAGCCAGGTCAGGCAATCCGTTCGGACGGGAAGAGGCTGGTTCAGAGGTTGAGCAGTACAACAGGTCAGGAATCAGAAAAACCAAGAAACTCTAAAAACACACTCACCTCTGGCTAAAGAGAATTACATCATCTTCCCTAACTGGATGTAAGCACTTTAAATAGAGGGGAGGGGCGGCCTAGTGGTTAGGGCATAGAGATGGGAATCCTGAGGTTGTGAGTGCGAGTCCCACTCCCACAGCCTGCCACTCTGGGTCCCTGAGCAAGACCCTTAACCCGACACTGCTCCCCAGCCGACGCACCATGGCAGCCCCCTGCTCACCAAGAGGGGGGGTTAAATGCAGAGAGTGAGTTTCTCCAATGTTCAATTATTAATTATATTATAAATAGAGGGAGGAGCAGTTGGATCAGATCAGCAGTGATTAGAAACCAGGCAGGGTTAGACAGGTGAATGGAATGAACACTGAAGCCAGTCATCAGTGCAAAGATCATGACGGTTTCTTTACTAATGTTAACATTTTTACAAACAACATGCACTAGTCTAGGGATAATCTGCACTTCATTTGATGCGCTTTAGGCTTTCGGATTAAAGCTTTTAAATTGTCATTTTGTTAAAAGATTAAATGAAAACCTTGTTTATTTTATCCTCAACATTAAAACTGTGAGATGATTTTTGTAGAATTTCACAGATAATTCCCAATAAAAATAATTAGAGGTTTGTTATTCCAGTATAACGTTGACAAACCTCCAATGTGCTGATGTTGCTCTAGAAGATTTGCAGCAGTATAAAGATGTATTACACACAGTTTGTCATGTTTTGAGATTGTTATTTAGTCCGGACATGTGGCTCACAGCTTTACTGGGTGGCACAACAGTTTGATGCTCTGCAGAGGTGAGCGTAAATCAGAGTCTGGTTCAGCCTGAGTTTAATCATTTTCCCTTCGTTTACAGTCTTCTCATTCTCCGTAGGTCAGTGAGAACAATGTGCTCTTAAAGAGACTACATCACACCACATTACAGCGATGCAAAAACAAAATGCAGCGTCGCGTCTTTTTACTTGCACATCTAAAGTTCTTATTCTTAAATAAAAAACACAAAAATACCAAATCATTTGCTTAAAAGGGCATTTTATTTTTCAAGTGAAGGAAAACAGGTTGCTTTAATGTTTTTATGAGCAGCTGATTCTTTATATTAAACCTGTGTGTAAAACAAAGGGAGAAGTGAGTCTTAGAAACGAGTCCATTGAGATGTTGAGTGGACGTGAGGGTTATTCGCCTGTATGGGGCTCGCTGGTTGTAGACTTGGTTCATTGTTTGGTTTGTGTTGATGATTCCTGCAGCAGGAACAGAGTCGCTCTCCTTCTCATGAAAATAATTCTTGCAAAGCTAATGTCTTTGTTTTCCTGCCAAAAGGCCATATATGGTTCCTTCTGTGAGATAGATGAACATACTGCATGGGTCAACGAGACAAGGTAAAAAAGCTTTTTTTTCAGAATTTGTTGACAAAGCCAAAAAGGTTAAAAGTAAATGAATAACTGAATATTTGATTCAGTTAAGGCTGAATAAATGTGGTTGTATGCTTATACTGGAGGTTTAAGCGATTAACGACAATGACTGCAATGCAAAGGAGCCAAAGATAAGAGAATAACAGCGGAAACATCAAACTCTTCTTAAAGATTCCTTGTTGGATTTGATTTGAACCAGGTCAGGGGTCAGCAGCTCTAGTGAGCCCCTCCCCCCCAAGAGCTTTTTCAAATATTTATGAAATCTGATTTTTTTTCTTTTGTTTTAATGTGTGGTACAGAAGGTCAAACAAACATCCATTATGTTTTCAATGCTGTAAAAATGTGTATAATAATTAAATGTGAACAATTAATGTTAACATTTCTTTCTTTCAGTGTCATAGCCGTAGAGATCAGAGGTCATTTCCTGCAGCAGGTTTCAGCGCAGCGCGGCGCCAGGCAGGCAGGTGGCGGCTGTAAACAAAGCGGTGGGGGGGTCTCCATGGATCCCAAAGGGAAAACAGGAAGATGGCTGATGAGAACAGAGGATCCAGAGAATCATTTGCTTTTATTACCAATGAGGAAGGATTGCCTGCATGTTTGCTTTGAATGAGAAGCTGTCAAATAGTAAAAAGAGTCATTAGGAAAGGCTAAAGCTGCAGCCCACCAAGCTGGGAGGGAGAGAAAAAGTGCGATTGCAGAACTTCTGGATAAATTAGAGCAGAGCAAAGATAGATCTAAGAAGTAGATTGCATCTCCAAGCTCCACTACTGCTTCTAGTTTGGTTGAAGAATAGAAAACCGTTCATAGATCTAACAGGTAGCGCTCTGATGCAGGGATGGGAACTTTCTAACATTTTTCCCCAAATCCTCAGAATTGATGTGGGACGATGTGGGATCTCAGAGTTAGAGAGCTCTGCTCTGATGATGTCACTTCCTGCTTGGTTCCTCATGACTCCATCAGCTCCTCCCAACAGAAACACGTCCACCATAGAAAGATTCCTTTATCCTGTTTCTATCATTTCATCAATGCAACTAAACCTAAACCGGGCGGTGAAGCGGCGCGCAGTGAGAGCGTTCACTGCTCCTCCCTCACCTCATGCTGCTGTGTGACATTTGCTCCTGGATAAACATTTAATCATGAATGTTTATTATATATTTATATAGCCCACATAGTCCTTTTCTACAGTGAGATAAAACACTTAGAGCCATGTTGCCAGACGAGGCTGATAGGAGACTTTTACATTTATGTAGCTCCGGACAGATTAGTTTTTTGGTTTTTTTGGTCCAATATGGTTCTTTGAGCAGTTTGGGTTGCCGACCTCTGGATTGGCCAATCTAGGTAATACAATGTTTTGATCTAAACCAGAGCTCGATGTTAACCATCGCCCGATCGCCCGGGGCAAGTAGTTTTTATTGTTGGGAGAGTACAAATTTCATTGAATTTGCCCGCCGTGCAAGTGCAATGATCGCAAAAAAAATTATTTATCACTCAAAATTACTTTAAAATCACTGACATTTGATGAAATGACCCAGAAGCGTTGCCGGCGCCATTTTTTTGTTGTTTTGTACACATTCTCGCGTGATTTGAA